TTTTTCTACAGTAAGCTTTGTCAATCAGTCGCACCCTCTAGCGTTGAAAAGTTGTCACGAAGCAAATGAAAAGCCGATCATAATATCAATATTGCTTTTTTTTTTTTTTGCTTTTTTTAAAACCTTTAGCCTACAGTCGTCAGTGATTTACAAATAATGCCTAAGAGCGTTTTAAAGCGCGGTGGTCGTCGCGTAGCGCGTGTTCAAATTTCATGTAAATAAACAATGTATTTTACACGCGTTGTATACGTCGCTATGAGTCCCATATCGAACAGGACGCGGCACGACGACTGCCGCACTTTAATATATGCACAACGACAACACAAGCAAACGCTTAGTTATCGCTTCGGAAAACAAGTTGACGCGTTCACACTTGACTTCACGGAGGAACTTCGTTGCCAGGGCGCGTAACTAAAAAAAATAATAATTGAATAATAAAAAGTACTGTGTGAAACAGATTCCTTTGAACTCTACATGATAGTGACCATTCTCCAAACACTGACGGATGCTGGACCTCAACCACGCCACCAACGATAGAAATCAGCCGATGCTTTGGGAATGGGCAGTAAGCGTACACATTGTAGAAAACTAGAAAGCATCTCCATGCGTTATTGAATACTTTGACAGTTAAAATTAAGGAATACGTTGACGAAACATGTTTTTATTTCAATATAGGATGAAAATGATACGTTGATAGAGGGCGTGTCTAAAGCCACTTAACTCGGAGTAACTATTGACCCATGCCTGAATTGGAATTCTCGTATTGAAAAATCGTGAAAACCATTAGTCCCAAAGTGGGCATTATATCTCTCATTCGTTACTATGTTCCCAGATCAATTCTCATCCTACTTTACAACACACTAATTCATGTTGCTCAACTTACAGTTTCACAGCATAATTTTAAATTTGCTGCAGTAAAACACTGGAATTCACTTCCAGACTCCCTCAAAAATATCAAAAACAGAAACAAATTTAAATACGAAATAAAACATTATTTGCTTTGTTAAATTCCTTCTCTGCATTATTTTCTTTTCTTCTGCATATAAATTCGTTGTACCAGTAGTTCGTTTATATTATTATATACAAATTATTTTCTTCATGTTTATATCTAAAACTTATAGATTACTTTTCGCTATGTAAAGAGTAATTTTCTTTTCTTTTACCAGTACTTTGTCAATTTCTACTTGACAGTCTGGATCATCGACTGGACTAGTCTTTACGGTCTCTGACAATGAACAAACCACCACACTGTAATTATATGCAAATCACAAGATAATATTGGCAATATGTTACCATTGTAATGCACATTTCAGCGTAAAACAATTTGTATCTTAGAGGAAGTGAGAACACTCACATGACAACTATTGAATTGCGACTCCAAGGCCTGACTGTCTCAACTCTCGTATTGTAAAATAGTACTATGCTCGACTATAAATAGGCTCCAGTCAATTTAACTCATAGTGTATTCAAAAGAGAAGCGGAACGGATACACCATAGCTACACAATAAATAAATGTACACATCACTTGACCAAGTCCTTTTCTAGCGTATGTGAATAATATAGGTATACTACTGTACACACCTTTGCAGTTTCCAAAGGATGTTGTTGTTGGCGTCGAGTGTAGGAATCGTGCAGTAACAATATGAACTCCCCAACGAAGTCGGGACTTGAGTGATCCCGTTTCTTCCAATAAAATCAATAGAATTCAATGATACAGCAAATGGACGTTAGACGCAAATCTGAACTAGGTGTTGAACAATCTACAAATATTACTGAATCATCACTCAAGTATGTTTATTGTTTTTATCCTTCTTTAAGATTTTTAAAGAGATATTATGGCCGATTTGCTGCATCGTCCGTGGCATTATACTGTTGGTTTAAACATTACCGCCACCCGCATACCTCCATATTACCCATCTGTTCATTGAAAGTCTAATTTTATAAAAGATTTTATAAAAGCTGGCTCAGAAAGATTGGTAGGCACTCTGCAAACATGGATGGATGTGAACAGTAGAAACGAGTCATTTTCTATCATGTTTAGTTGCCTTGAAGTTTTAAAATATTTCACCCTTGTGTTCAGTGCATAGGATTCCTTTGCCATATATTTATATAGTATAGAATACGGTAGAATAAATGTAAGATACAGTAAACTAACAGACAATTATCCCATAAACCCCAAACCATACTCCGCGGACCATACACCCACAAATCATTACCTTCAAACAATAAACCCACAAATCATAACCCACTAACCTTAAACCCACAGACTATAAACCAACAAATCATAAACCCAAAGCCCATAAAGCCCCCACCTGTACACCCGGACAATACACACGAAGATCGTAAAACCATTGCAGGCCATAAACCTACTACAGAATAAACCCACAAACCATACGCCCACGTAAATCAACAAACCATAAACGAACTGACCATGAACCGACAGACCAAAAACCCACATTCTATTAATCCACAGACATAACACCAACAAACACAGAGCCTATGATGAACAACAGGATATGCATAATTTGGCAAACTGACTGTTTAGAATTCACCTATAATTGAAAAGTAGCGCCACCGATTTATTCACTGAGAAAAAAACATCACCTCTGATACGACAGAGCCAATTCCATTCAGTTGGCTAGTTCCCGCCGTCCCCTGTGAGAGTTAGTAGGACAAAGGTAAATAGTGTTAAAGTTCAACCATTACAAACTATCAGTCTCTTGAGATAAATATCAAAAGAATTTGTAGAAAGGCCCCAGGAAATGTGCCAGTTGACAAAGTTGAAAACAACAAATGGATCGATCAGACTAGACGTAATGATCTGAATATCAAAGGCTTTTGCACGCACACAGCTTCTAAAGTTATAGTAACACGGCAATTAATAGAATGATTAATTAGTACAAAATGTTACAAAACGTTTCTTATTATGTTTTTTATGACGGTGAATAAGGCTTACAACAGCGTGTCTGTCCATTAGTGTGTTGTGTACCATACTAAGTAGGGAGAATTGTGATCTCTCAAAAACCCTGGCCTTTGCACTTAGCAATTGTCCTATCATCGATCTATGCACATACAGTATCGATAGATTGTACACCGTATTACATCATAGACAACGATTAAATGGCAATTTAAGAAAGGAATGTAATCATAGAAATATTCCGCACATCTATCTATCTATCTATCTATCTATATATAAATATATTTATTACATTTTGATCTAACAATTTAGTTAGCCCTTCTTGTGAAGATTCTATCATTTTCTTGAGTTTTAGTGTTTCCAATATTGTTGTACCAGGCAACAATTGTCAAATAGCACTGTTGTCTCTTCTGACTTTACACGAGAGACCATATTCCAGTCCTGGACTACATGATAGGACTATATGGCCATCTTTCTATCATAGTGGCATTATGAATTTAATCTCCAAGCACGTTGAGCAACACAAAATTACAGACGTGTCACAGAAGATCCAAAATGACGCATTAAAATCAAAGTTTGTGACTGTAGTGCAGTCCAACGATAGAACAATATACGCTGCTAACCCAACATCAGATTTATTGAACTGTAACCTGTTCACTGGGTAATGTGACGCAGGCTTTGAACATGTTCGAATGAATGGGCTGAAGTTAACACTTCGATCATATGTTTTTTTTCGAATTATTTGAACTAATAATTGTCTTCTATGTTGTAAATAACTATTCAGTTATGTTAAACACATACCATTTGCTTTTATTAAGGCCCCGGCTACGAGTCGATTTTACTGCACCAATGAAGGAAAGTTTGAATTTGTGAAACGTGTTGACGAGAGCGCCACAATGATTGGTCTTATACTAGATAGACACGTGCAATTCGATTCTCTGACGTCACAAATAACATGCAGATTATAATTTTTTTCACGCAAGTAATGTACAGTATAATCAAGGTCAGAACGACCTACTTATTTACAATCACCCTCGGGGATAACGAACTAGCAGTTACAAACACCTAAGTGCGAGTAACCAAAATTACAAGATCACAAAAAACTAAATTAAGGTATTTTATTAATATCTGTTTAATATATATTTAATACAATTACTCACTCAATGGTATTACATGTCAGATATTGCAGCACATATAAGTGCAAATGATGACAGGAACAACATTTACATCTATTAAACGCCTGTTGTTGAAAATATTTAACACATAATACCCACTGAAGTGTGGCTAATTGAAGTATAAAAACACACACAAGTATATAAAATACATGGAATGCGAAAATCATCAGTGAAAAATACATTAGTGCGTTTTACTGAAATTTGTTGATTTAAAATATGCAAACGTGTTGCTGATAAAATTAATTCTTAAACACTAGATTTGCAAAAATTATACCAAGAATTTATTTATTTTGTAATAATCTTCAAAATAATTATACTAACTTGAGGAAAGTGTTTTCCGGGAAAATGCT